ACCCTTAGGCCTGTGTGCCTCTGCTAACAATTTCCAAACTGGGATTCTCACTTAACTGGGCTACCCTCGGATTAGCACTTTACCTTTCAAGAGCACAAACACATTCTCCAAGTCATGATCAGCTTTCTCATCCTCTTCCGTGGGCAGGGCTAACTATCCATGCGTGCTGGGCAAAGCAGGCTAGACAGCTCGTTGTTGTGTTCAGAGATGAAAGATGTTCCTACTCGTGTGAATAATGGAACCATAGGCAATCGAAAGGGAAATCTGGGCTTGAGTGGTTCAGAGCCGAATTTGGGAGCTTTTCCTACAAAAGCAAAATATACTCCTGTCCTCTAGGGGATCATGAACAACCTCGGAGCACAGGTCAGTGCTACCAAACAACCCGAGGACACTGTCCCGCAACACTGTGCGACCCACTGGCGCTCAGGCTGGATGTGGCAGGAAAGCCAGTGGCTGTAACAATCCATGGCATGTCTGGGAAGGCTGACGCTAATGACTGAATTAGGCAGTGACCAAGAGAACTAACAAGGAAAGCTGCAAACGTGGAAGTGGCGTGTGACGGTCGACTATTCTATACAAGGCACTTTCTGGATCAAAGTTTACATTTCTCAACAGTGGAACCAAACCAAATATTACACCACTTAACCATTCTCCAGGGATCTGAGGGAAGGCTTTGAAAAGAGCCTCAGCAAATGACACAAGGAGCATTTTGCAAGAGCTGTGAGCCGTAAATGTTTTTAACTCATCGATCACAAAAGAGGAGCCTGAAAAGGCCCAAGGGGTCAGCACTCAGGAAGATGAACAGTAGCTCAAGGTGAAGTACACTGCCATGATGGGCCCGTTTTCTCTACAGACAGGGTGATCAAGCTCCACAGCTGTTTGTCCTGGACAATGGGAAGCAACAGTCTATAACTGCCTCATGCCCCAGAAGTGTGGCGAGAAGCCAGGATGGAACAGACCGGACTAAGATGGAGGGTCCGACTTTGGGTCACCTCCTAGCTCCATCCACATACTATTCTTACTAAACCGCTCGCTCATCCCCCTGTAGGTCTGTTCCCCTAACTGTACTGTTGCAGATGTTTCTAAGGTGTATGGAAGCCTAAAAGCTACACATCAAGAAACGGCGGGAGTAGTGCCTTTAATCCCAGCACTCAGGAGGCAGAGGCAAGGGGATCTCTGTGAGTTTGAGGCCAGCCTGGTCTACAAAGTGAAATGTGTTCCAGGACAGCCAATGCTACAGAGAAACCCTGCCTCAAAAAGCGGAAAAACAAAAATACTACAACAACAACAACAATCACAGCACCATCAACAACAAAGAACATCAAGAAAGAAGTGAGCAAGATATTTATTTACAAGTCACCCTGAGCACAGCAAGCCCAGGCTCACTGACCACCCCCCCCCACCCCATGCTCCCTCCTGGCCCCACAACACACACACACAAACACGCAGAGACACAGAATAAGGTTGCTACTATTTGAGGGTTTTTGTTGTTGTTGTTGCTGTTGTTTTGTTTTTCGAGACAGGGTTTCTCTCTGTGTAACAGCCCTAGCAGTCCTGGAACTCACTCTGTTGCCCAGTTGGCTTCAAACTCACAGAGATCTGCCTGCCTCTGCCTCCTGAGTGCTGGGATTAAAGGAATGCACCACCACCACTCCACCCTCTTCTGAGGCTTTTAGCAATTAACACAATGATTATGACTACGGGACAGGACGCTGCTACAAGAATTGCTGCCAGGGAGGAGAAAGGAGAGCCGGGCACAATGATATTAATAAACCAGATTCAAAAGCTCGGTGTCCTGGAGCTCACTGGCACGGGACAAATGGAACGCCCTTGAGCACCAACAAAAACGGAAATGGAGTGTGCTGGGTTCTACTCGGCATGGCAAGGGATGCTCACAGCTTGACTATTGCCTTTATTAAAACAGTAACTTTGTTTATGAGTTAAAAACCAAGATTAACACCACCACCATACCCCCGGAAGTGAGGAATGCTGCCTGCTCACTGACGGTATCACTGCAGAGGCAGGGGCACCAGAAATAAGACCCAGCACCAAGAGCTGCACTGGCCATTCCTTCCTTTTCAAGAACAATTAAGTCTGCATGGTTAGAATTAAAAAAAAAAAAAAGAAGAAAAAAAAGAAAAGAAAAAGAAAACCACGGCCTAACAGAACTGGTAGTTTTCATCTTTCATCTAAAGTTTAGTGATATTGAGAGTATTTTGCTTATATCAATATAAAATGCAAATTTATACTATACATTTTGTAGAGGTGGCAACTGAGTCAGGGCCTTATACATGTTGGACACACGCTTTCACTGAGCTCCATAAATTATAACATTACAGTATTCTATAATGTACTGTGCTTCATAGTCTAACGCTGGTGCTCAGTAAATAACTGGTTTACAGGTTGTCCTGTAGAAGGCAGTAATTCTGACCAGAGATCACTCACTCAACACAGGAAAAAATATACTGAAATCCTAAGATCCCGGCAGGTGCTTAACACAAATATATTTTGTTTCAAATTTTAAAAACCTAGCCGGGCGGTGGTGGTGCACACCTTTAATCCCAGCACTCGGGAGGCAGAGGCAGGCGGATCTCTGTGAGTTCAAGACCAGCCTGGTCTACAAGAGCTACTTCCAGGACAGGCTCCAAAACCACAGAGAAACCCTGTCTCGAAAAACCAAAAAAATAAAAATAAAAACCTCTCAAGATTATGTCACTATTACAGAGTCAAAGTTCAGAAGGCTCCCTGGGGTCTAAATAAGTTGAGTCTCCAACGTACAACTTTTCTTTCTTTTTGAGAGTGTCCCTCTATGTAGTCCTGGCTGTCCCAGAACTCGGAAGATCCGCCTGCCTCTGTCTCCCAAGTGCTGGGATTAAAAACATGAGCCACCACTACCCAGCCCATACTGAGGTTTTATGCCACGCTGGAGATCAATGCCAGCGCTTCCTGTGCTCTGGGCAAGCAACAGGGATACAGCCCAGCAACAACTCTAAAGAGGCAGGCACTGCACCTCGCCCCTTGTCTGTCAGACTATTCAAACAAAGGACCCAGGAAGTAGAATTTCTCTCAAAGTCTCATAATGGAAAAGAAAAGGCTGTGTTCTCGGTGCCAGCAAAGGGAGACTGTATTTCCAAAGAGACTGCAGAGTGCTGACAGTGTGTGCCACCACCCAGAACCAAGACAGTGAGGGCACGGAAGCTGGTTGAGTGGACCTCAAGTTTAGCAGGACTTCTGAGTTGTGTACACCACCTCTAGACTGCTCCTGAAAACTAAACCACATATCAGAACTCCGAAGATGGTGTTTGGTGGGGGATCGTTGATCTTCCTTGTTGTGTTCCATTTCCTGGTGTGGCTACACTGAACAAACCTTCTTTCTCTGTGTGGTGGTAATGGTCTCCATAGGCGCACATATTTAAAAGCTTAGGGAGCAGCACTATTTGAAAGGATTAGGATGTGTGGGATTGTAGAAGGAAGTATATCACTGGGGGTGGGCTTGGAGACCCAGACTCTCTGACAGCTGCCTCCAGTGTGCCTTGCTTACCACTTAAGATAATGGATTAATCCTCTGAAACTGTAAGCAAGCCCACAATTAATTTTTTTTTTTAAGAAATAAGAGTTGCCATGGTCATGGTTTATCATGACTAAGAAATAAATTGGTACCAGGAGTGGGGTATTACTGTAGATTACAAAAAACCAACAACAAAAACAAAACAAAAAACCCAAACGGTTGACTGCTTAATCAGACATCCTACTAGGAGCATAAAAGATAGTTCTGAGAGTGGCTTGAACTGTGGGGGCCCAGCTCAAGAGGTTTCAAAGGTGAAGAATTTGGCAAAGACTATGGGAACTTTTTTTATAATTTATTTATTTATTATGTATAAGACATCCCTTTCATGTATGCTTGCCAGAAGAGGGCACCAGATCTCATTACAGATGGCTGTGAGCCACCATGTGGTTGCTGGGAATTGAAATCATGACCTCTGAAAGAGCAGAGAGTGCTCTTAACTGCTGAGCAGTCTCTCCAGCCCCACCTATTTTTTTCTTTAACGAGAAAGAAAAAAAAAAAAAAAAAAAAAACTACCAGCAGTTAAATTGAAAAACATGGGTTAATGGCACTGACGAGACTGAAGAGAGCCAAGTACTGACTGTGTTATGTGGTTATTAGTAACCAATCTTAATGCAGCCCTAGAATGGAAAGGAGGGAATTGGACCACAGAAATACAAACTGTGTAGTTTGAGGAGAAAAGGAGCACCAGGAAGTGTAATTAACGGGCCTAAGTTCAGTGCTTGAGGAGAGAAAAGGTTAAAGAAAAGCCTGATGCTAAATGGGATAAATTGAAAAGCAAGACCTCAGGGCAGGATCCCACCCAGCTAAGCTTCAAATTCAAGGGAAGTAAAGAAAACCTTAAGCCATGAAGGAAATCACCAACAATGAGAGTGGCCCTCATTACTGACTCAGTTACTGAGTGCTCAGTCACCAGGGCATGGGACTCCTTTAAAGGATTTTAGAAGGATTCAGAGATGTGGCCTTTGGAGGAAGTGTGTCACTAAGGGCTGGGATTTGAGGTTTCAAAAGCCCACGCTAGTCCCAGTCTCTCTACCTGCTGCTTGCAATTCAAGATACAGGTAGCTCTCATCCCACCATGTACCCCAAAAGGTGATCATGAAACCTCGGAAACCAATCAACTAAAAATGCCTTCTAAGAGTGGCCGAGGTCTCTTCAAAGCAACAGAACATTGACTAGGCCTCTGTTTCACTATTACTTGTCTCTTTAGTAGCATGTGGGGGACAAGAAGCCCATGAAACTTGTTAGGGCTGCTGCAGCCCAGGCTTTGACACTGAGACCTCCAGTAACACACGGGACTTCTAATCTACAGGGATTTTACTGTTTGCCATTGCCTAAGAAAAATGCACATAATCAGAGCAGTGCACACTTACAATCAGCACAATGCACACAATCAGAGCAGTGCACACTTACAATCAGCACAATGCACACTTACGTTCAAAGCGTTCTTTGCAGCTTCTGCTTCTGAGCGACTGTCGAAGCTGACAAAACCTACAGGCTGAGGGAGAAAGAAAAAAACATCAAGAAAAAGAAAACAGAAATCACTGGCCATCTTTTCTCTAGGTCAAGGGTGGTGTCTAACTGAGGAGCTAAGATAAAGAAATGACCACAGGCAATGGGTAGAAATAAGAAAGCCAATCCCAAAGAATCAGGACCTAGTGGCTTAACCAAATTTCTCAAGTGAATCAAAGGGACGGTGAGGGCAGTTCTTCAAGGACACAGCCAAGAATTTAGAGAATTGCTTTTTTAAAAAAAGAAAAAAAAAATCAGAAGTGCTTGGAAGGTGTGAGCAGCAGTGACCAGGGGACAGAGGAGAATCTGGGTTGGAGAGACTCTAGTTTCCTAAATCAAATTCACTGTACCTCAGCTTCTTCGTCTTTTAAAATGCAAAGAGAAACCGAATCACCCTTTGGTTCACTGTAAGTGCAAGGAATATAATGACACAAAGGTAAACATCCCTGTGTTCGCACTGCACAACCGAAACTACTAAATAAACCTTGCCACCAAAGCCATGCCTTTCCAAAGAGCTCAATTTACTCAGGCACGGAAGGACACTGCTCAGGGAAATGGGTCCCTTCCTTTATATCTTTCAATGTGTTGGCTGCCTCCAATTTAGTTCATTTCTGATACAGCAGAAGTTAGGGGACTTGGAAGTGTTCAGCTTCAAAGGTAAGAAATGTTTAGCCAACCTCTGAGAAATAAGAATCCCAGGGCCATGAGTTTTCTCCTCTTCATTCTACACCTGCTGTGGGTTCCTCTGTGTTTTTACAGGTTCCATGCAGATAATACGTCTATAAACTACAAATATTCCATGAAAAGGACTACTCAATAATTGTGCGTAGAGCTGGAGAGATAGGTCAGTGGCTAAGAGCTTTGACTGCTCTTCCTGAGGACCTGGGTTTGATTCCCAGCACCAACATTATGGCTCACAACTGTAGGTAACTCCAGTTACAGGGACTAATCCTTCTTCTGGCCTCCATGGGCATTGAATGGAGACATAGCATAAGCAGGCAAAACTGTCTGTCTGTCTATCTGTAAAACAAATAATAAACCTCAAAAAATTATGACTCAGAGAATTTAGATGATATGTTTACTGAAGAAACAAATTAGTTTTACTGTAACTCTGCTGGAGGCACTATGACTGTACCTTCTCAATCTCAAAGCTTCCAATCTAGACTGTGGAATTATACACCATTTTCCTATACTAATTCCCAATCAACTTCACCTTTAATTTTGATAATACATAGGTCAAATCCTCACTGAAACAAAAGAATACTTATTAGGCTTCATTAGCAAAAGGTGATTATTTTTATAAGTTCTAAATTCTTACCTGTTTAGATGTGAGTTTTATAAGAGAACCCTCATAGCCCTGAAAAAATAAAGAGCAGAGGTTTAGAAGGAAGGGAGCATTACAGTTTCATCTTCCTCAAGTAAAGTGATCAACTATGTTGCCCTTCTCAATGCCTCCAAAATTAGCTGGGGACACACATTACAGACACGGACATAAGACGTGGCGTGAGTAGTTCAGTATAGAATGCTTGCCCAACATACACAAAAGCTTAAATTTAGCCACCAATATTGCAAAACAGAACAAAACAAAAACAGATAACCATATGAACACTACCAGGAAGGGCTGAGCAGGAGACATACGGCACTGTGAGCTCTGCTTGCTTACTGAAACAGCCGCTTGTCATAGTGGAATTGGATGAGAACATGAAACGCCTCCCTGTTTCTATTCCCCTCATCCGCAGAAGCTGATGGCATTCCTGTCTTTCTCTAGTTCATTTCTCTTGTGCTTATTTCCAGAAACATCAACAGCACTGACAGGTGACAGAAGGGGGAATACACCAATTGACATGAACAACCACTACAAATATCAGTGTACGGACAGATTTGCAGAACAGGCTCAGCTGTGCTGGGCTGAAATTAAGAGGGTTGCTAGGGATGCTCTGACTAGGAAGACCTGACCTCAAGGTTCGGGTTTCTGGTCAGGGTGCTGGGGCTGGTTCATTCTCACTGGTTCATCTTCCCAGCAGAACACTGAGTTACCAACTAGCTACTGTGAACGTTTCCAGCCAAGGCTTCAGTGCTGCCTCTGTCTACTGTACAAGGGGCACTTTCTCTTAGAAATCCCGGAGATTTAAAACCTTGAAGGCCCCAGATGCAAAATAACAAATGATATGCCATTCACATAGAACAGTACTAGCAGGGTCATACCATGCTCAAGTCACTACAGGAATCAAATGGTTTCTCTGCTGTCACCGCTACTGATGCACTATGGGAACGGCTATCTTTCCCGGCTCACACATCAACTCCGCTGGCATCTTTGGGGGTTGTGTCTACCTGTTGCCTGAGCCTTTCTCCTTCCCAGCCCTTGTGTTTTCTGTTGCCACGTCCTTACCAAGCTGAATCCAATCTCTCAATTGTCTTCTCCAAACAGGTTGGTCTTGAACCAGAAACCCCCATCTCTTAATCAGCCTCACCAGGCTTCGGTAGCCTTCCTACTACAAACAAAACCTCCCTTAACTCACAGGTTTTTAATTCATGCCTTCCAGGCCACATTATAGCCTCCAAAGGCCAACTTTCAGGTAAGGTTAAGCTCACTGTTAAAAGTTTCGATCCAGCACCATTTGGTCTCTCTAAAGCGAGCTCACTTCCATAGGAACAACGGGAAACTCCACCACACAGTTCATTAACCAGCAGTTTCCCTTCAGTTCACACAAAGTTAGCCAACAACGTTTGGTTTTGTTGAACATTTATGGCTTTTGGTGTGACTTATTCATGTCCATACGGAACTGTCTAAAGCACTATGCCAGCCAATAAAGCAACACCTGCCAACAGGGCTCAAATCATAAAGCTGCATTTTAATACTAAGTTATTTATACCTTTTTGGGGAGGGTGTGATGCTGGGAAAAATCAAGCCCAGGGCCTTATACACATTAGGCAAGTGCTCTACTAGAGAGCTGGTCTATCCCCTGACCCACCTCGGAACTCTTACAGTCTGCACTTAGGGGCATGCCTCTAACGGAAGGTTCGTAAAGCTACCGACAGGGACTGGGGAATGCTGGGGCTGGTGCCTCTCCATAGCAGTGAAAAGAGTCTTCTGAACTCACTACCAGAGACCAAAGGACAATGTTAGACCATCGTCCCAAAGAGACTGTGTATCAGAACTCTGATCTGAATTTTCTTTTGTTTATTAACATCTTTAAATAAAACTATTACAGGGCACTTCCTCCAACATTCTCCCCGCTCTAACGGCCACAAGGAAACACTCATCAAGTACCTTGAATGGTCTGAAGAGCAGGTAGAGCTCCCGGGGTTTGATGTCCAAGGGCAGACCACTGACAAATAGGGTCCGGACCTAGAAAATAAGGAGACAGATGAGCAAGGGTGTGGAAAACCCACAAGCTATCTCTCACCCTGAACCATCGGATCCATGACGCCTCTCACAACATCCTTTCTATGACATGATAAATTGACTCCCTATATAATTTTAGTATTAGTTTAAACCATGTCATAAAGACAGTACATTTTCTACACTTCTACTCCAACCACAGCAAAAGACATACTTGAAAAGAAAACCATAAATTTATGGTTTCTCCTGCTTTTGTCTCTTGTCCCTGCGCCCCCTGACGGTGTTAATTACCATTATTTTAATAAGCATGAAAGGGCTAAGATTCTATCAAGCACCTACACAGGAGCCAGCAGGCACTGCTCTGCTTCTCTCACTGGCTGCTGTTTTTTCTGTGTTCCATGACTCAACCAACACACATACCTTCAAGGTACCCACTAGGTGCCAATGACCGAAGTCATACAGGACATGTGTGTAAACACGCATGATGGAAGACACGGAGCGCAAACTATGTGCCTGATGCCTACGAAGGCACACAACACCGACAACGTGCTTCTGGCGGAAAATCCGAGAACGCGAGTTAGCAGGTGTGGATTAATTTCTGGGTGTTTTATTCTGTTCCATTGGTCCTCCTGTCTTGGGTCTTATGCCAATACCAGGCTGTTTTCAGTACTGTAGCTCTGTAGTATAGTTTGAAGTCAGGGATTGTGATACCTCCAGAAGTTTTTTTTTTTTTTTTTTTTTTTGGATACAGGATTGTTTTGGCTATTCTGGGTTTTTTGCTTTTCCATATGAAGTTGAGTATACTGTTCTCTCAAGGTCTTTGAAGAATTTTGCTGGGAGTTTGATGGGCATTGCATTGAAACTGTGCTGGATCTATTTCTAAAACTTTCCATGGTTGTGTACAGAATCAAAAATCAGTATGGTCTTTTTATTGTTCCAACACAGCGCACAGGCCATCTGAATGTTCATACATGTTCTTATTACATGGCAATCTCAGAATTCGGACGGGCTTCTTTAAATTATTCTGAACATCTATGCTATGTCTTTAAAATGTAGAAATTGTTAAGTTTTCACACCACACACACCTGACACACAGTAAAACCATCACAGCTGAGATAACATTACCATTTTCCTCATGCCTCCCACACCACCTACCCTTTTAGAAACAGGTCTCACCACTCAGACCAGGTAGACCCTGAACTCACTGAGTGCTGAGCAGGATTACAGATGTATGGACTGCCATTTCTGCCTTCACATCTCCTTTTCAGCCTGCCTCTTCCTCCAGCCCTGCCCCGCCACCCTAGGCATGGCTCTTCTGCTATCGGTGCTGGTTAGGATGGGTTAATATGCGTCCCAAAGTCAAAACGGAAGCACAGAATAAAAGCGCTGAGTTTGTCTCCATTCATTCATATTAACATAAACTTAGTCTCGTCCATACTGTTAAAGTCGACCCAAAGTCCATCCCTTCTCACTGCACAGTGTTCTGTTATGTGGATGTACTAACCCATAAACCTGTTGCCACAAATAGTAAGATGATTTGACTAAAAACAAAATCTCTCCTTCCACTCTTTGTTCTAAGGTTCAGAGCACTGCAAACGCTCGGAGTGCTTGGAACAATGCGTGCTTTGCTGTTGTTGGATGGAGGAGTCTAAAACAGTCAATCAGGTCAAGTTTGTTGACCAAACTTCTTATGTGGTCCTCATTTCTTCTTTCATCTTTGCCACACAGAGAGCTCCCGAGGAAACGGTAACATTACTGACAAGCACGTTAGGGGACTCTACTGCCCACTATGCCGCCTGCCTTTTCATGGGGCAGACACTCTGACCAGGATGACCTGGACAAGAGAGTTAACCCTAGCTTCAAGTTCTTCAAGTACCCACCACACCCCTAACCCTGTGCTGTGTGCGGAGTGGACTGAAGATCTGTGCGGGAACAGCGGGGTTTGCGGACCGTCTGTCTTAAGGTTATATCACTGGTCCAGCGCTGCAGTGTGCTGCTGGTGTATAGTGGGCGTGTTTAAGGAGTTCACCCAAGCCATTAACTAACACTTCCACTACTGTCTGAAAGAAAGAGGTTTTATAGACTTGCTAAGCAATTGACCAACAGAACTCACTAAACACCCAGGGATTGTGACCAAAAGACAACAATATACTTGAGGTCTATCTAAAACACAATAGTATATTATACCAGCAATAAAAAAAATGTGCAAAAAAAAATGTGCAAAAACAGGGTGTCGAGATGGATCAGGGGGTAAAGGCACTTGCCACCAAGCCTAACAACCTGTGTTCTGGAAAGAACAGTTTCTACTCAGGTGCCCTCTGACTGCCAAATGCAAGTACTCACACACACATAAGTGTGCACTGTGTGCAAGGAAAAGACAAACTTTGCTCTCAGTACTTAGAGAGGGAAACTGTCCTTTATAGATACCAGGGCCTAGCTTAAACAACTGGACAAACTGTATTGCAAATAATATTTCGGGTCTGTGTGGCCAGGAAACAAACAAGCAGCCTCAGCCTATGGGTTACTAAGTTCAAGAGTAGGATGGTTTAAAATCTTTTCTAGTCACTCCACATTTGGTTAAAAAAAAAAAAAAAAACAAAACAGTCTCGTTAAAAGAGGAGGAGGGAGAAGAGCAAAGAAAGAAAACCCAGAGAATTAACAAGGGAAGAATAACACCGTAAATCTCAGTCGTGCTTCTCTGGGGCAACCAGAGAAAGAGTCAGAGGATCTAAGACCCATCTCAACGCCACAGGTCAGCGCATTGCAACGTCCTGAATGTGCAGGGTCTTTCGTAACTAAATCTGTGGAAATCAGAAAGATCTCCTCGCCTGCAGGGAGCTTACTGTCATAAACTTGACAGTCACCCACAGCAACAGAAAACTCAGTCACGTGGTGGCCCAGCTGGAACCAAAGAGTGAGGACAAATACTCCAAAAAGTCATGCGTGTCCCCCCCCCACACACACACAACGCCACGCTCGGATAACAAACAACCACGTGAACTTACAGAGGGGCAACCCTTAATTTCCCAGCTCTGTCTATGGACACGGATGTGCTGGGGGCACTGTGCCTTCAGAACACACCTGCTCATCAGGCAGGAAGGGGCATTTTTCAGTCAAGGACAAAAGAAAAGTTCAAGAGAGTGAAGCTGCTGACAGCTATTTCCCAAAGGGGTTCCAAAGGACTCCATGGCGGTGACTACTTCATTTTTGCCCCAACGAGGCTGGAAGAACAAATGACAGCATACTCCACTGTGCGGGGGACAGATGGACATCCAGGGCTTAGCCACCAGCTAGCACCACAGCTGGGCTTCAGATAAAAACAACCGTGTATCCTTCAGTAAGACTGTCGCTTTTCCACTGGGGAAACAGCCTATTTAATAAACCTGGAGCTTGCCTGGGCCATTACACTGATAGCATACTTTGTAACCAGGACCCATGGCGGCGCATCTCTCTTTAGCCAGCCCTCCGTAAACTTAACATTCTCTAAGTTTACCTTTTTTTCTTTTATTTTTGACAAGGTCTTACTTATAGCACAGACAGACCTCAAATTCACAACCCTCCTACCTTAGCCTCCCAAACTGGGACCACAAGCATGACCAACACACTGGGATTCCATGGGTCAGATCTGCGTGTGCACATGCTCACGTGAGGAGTGGGTGAATACATGTGGAGGGCAGAGAATTTCTAGGCCAGCCTGATCTAGAGAACAAGTTCCAGGACAGACAGAGAGCTACACAGAGAAACCGGTCTTGAAAAGCATGCTGGGGGTGTGGGATACTCAGAGTCACTAATTTGCACATTTAAAATGGTTAACTAGATAGTCATGTCTACTGACATGAAACAAGCCCATTTTTATGTCATGCTCTAAGATAGGAAAGACACTGGGGGTTATATCAAGTCATCCACACATCAACAACAGAGGAGGGGGGAACTTTCCTCCACCGTACATGGTAAGTATGTGTGTGGGGGGGGGGTATTGCCTCCAATTTCCTCAAAAATATAAAGGCGGGATCCCCTCAGCCCCCGGTTTTCCTGTTCATCCTTGATCCAGAGGATCAGGTCTTACCTAGCAAAAAGCAACAATTAAAAACCTGACCACGTTTGTGTAATAGGGCTCACTTTCAACTTTGACCACAAGTCTGTGTTTCTTTTTGCTTTGTTTTGTTTTGTTTTGCTAGGTTGGCTTGGAACTCTGTAGCCGAGGGCAACCTTGAACTCTTGATCCTCCCGTTTCCACCTCCCAAGGGCTGTCATTATAGGTGCGCGTGTGCTGGTTAAGTCAATGTTTCCTAACATCACAGCTAAGACAAAAACATACCAACTAGAAATGGTGCAGGGCGATCCTGGTCTCTGTCAATAGGGTCTTGTCTTCCTTAAGACTAGTCCACTCCTTGGTTCACTCTAAACAGACCAAGAGAGGCTTGGCTTTAGTGAGACAAGGAGACTCACTCAGGCCTTCCATCTGAGCACTGGGAAGGCAGAGGCAAATGGATCTCTGGGAATGAGGCCCTCAGATCTACACGTGAGGGCTAGGTCAGTGGGGGGGGGGGCGCTACAGAGGCCATTCTGCAGGGGAGGGCTTCCTCTTTCTGTGATAGGCCTGAGGTGATCTGTGACAAAGGTTCAATACTCTACTGAAAACACTACAGAATCAGGCAAATCAAGAGGCTCAAACCTGACTGTTCTTTGTAAGAACCATGAAGATGCCCAGAGCATCATGGGTAGGCATACCCAAAAGGCACCAAGTAGGAAAGATGTTACTAGAAAGAAGCCACGGGTGCTGTCCCAGAGTACAATCGTGGCGTTGGCGGGTGCACCCTGGCCAAAGAGTGGGGCTGGACACAGGGTCGGTGGCCAGAAAGCAGAACTGAATTTTTGTTGTGTATACTTAAAACTGCAGAGAACATGCTGAACTTAAGGGTTTAGACAGGGAGTCTCTGGTCATTGACCATATCCAGGTGAACAAATCACTTAAGAAGCATTGTTGAACCACAGTTCATGGCTGG